GCAGCAGTCATATTTGTCCGTCTAAAAAATGCGCTGAATATGCATTCTGTGTGAATGGCTTGGTTTCGGTTTTAACCTTTATCAAGATCTTCTCCGCATTGAGCTTCTATATTTCTCTAATATTTTGAATGCATAACGCAGCAAGTGCGTGTCTCGTGGGCTAGACTAACAAAACATTAAAATGCAACAACGTCACTTACATCGTCACCGTATCTCGTGCTCCACTGATGACGCTCCTTGACGCACTCCTAACATTTGATTGTACTATTTTTGCATTCAAATGCAAATGTTTATTTTAAATTCGACTAATATTAATTTTTTTATTCACAATCTCCTCATCACAGGCAGGCACAGCACTCAATTCAGCATGTGTTCGTGTTTGTGTGTGCTGTCTGCGTCACTCAGAGCACGTGCCTATATCGTGCACTATATCGAACATTTTTTATAGCGTTATCGAAGAAGGTGTACTTCTTCCCAGGCCTACCTTTAGCTCATGATTAATCCACAATTAAAAAAAAAAAAGTGTATACAACCAAAAAACCTATTAATTCATGCAAATGCCCTGACCCCCTTCTTTCCACTCTATGACTATGTGTGGGAATAGTGGAACAGTGGAACAGTGACTGTATAGTCTGATCAGATCTGTGTCTTTGAGCCACTCTGGGACTCTCAACTTCATTCTGTCAGTGAACTGAGGCACGTGTGTTTAGATGGGACACATCACACCCAGAGCAGAAGGTGTTTGCTTGTTTTAGCCCAGTGGCAGATTGTTCCTGTCACACACTCACACAGGGGCAGGAATACAGTGTCCTATTTGTGTGCTGCATGTTGGACACCATCATTGTGTCAATGTTTGTGTTTTATATAGATTATGCATAGTGGACATGTCCAGGTTCTCTATTATTCTTTAGAAACTAATGGCCCATATCCAATTATTTAACTTTGATATGACCCCTTTGACATGTTTTATTTAATTTTTTTTAATTATTGTTCTGAGTTTGATTCCGATGAAGGTTTCAGTGACGACATTCAGATCCACAGAGGCCTCACACCCACAACCCAGCCTATAAAGCCTGAGGAGACATTGTGCATGTAAGGCTACAAGGGCTCTTTAGACGACATGTTGCTTTTAAGAATGAATGAAAAAATAGAGCGGTGGGTTCTGTGAGGAAGGAGGGAGTAACTGAGGGATGGATGAATAGTCAGAGTAGTGCTGGGCGGTATACCGGTTCATACCGAATACCGGTGTTTATTTTTTTTAAGATATTAATTTTTTAAATACCGCAATACCGGTGTATGTCACTTAAACAACGTTCGGAACGCGACACTGTTTGAAAGGGGTCCCTTTTCACTGTTGCACTGTGGTGAGGGAACAGCTGTATGTGTTACTAAGCGTGAAAGTTCCGAAACTGAAGCTGTAGAATTAATAGAATGTGATGACAGAAGAACTCATCCACAATATCCACAGTATCCGCCCCCTGCCATCAGCTCCCACACACGAGCGCGACTTTAGCACTAGATTTAGCAACTTTCAGACCCTTTTAGCGGATTTTTTCCATAGAATATTCATACTGACAAACCTAGCGACTTTTTTGATTAAACCTTAGCTATGGTTCAGTTGGATAAACCTTAGCTATGGTTCAAGATTTCGCCAGTGCTGTCCCGCGAACGCGAGGTCTGACTTTCCCGGAGAAGTGTCACCTCTCTCGGCGTCTGTTCTGTGCAGTAGTCACTATTTAGTGTGGTATTTTTTGACAATATTCACTCATCATGACAGTAAAATAGGGCATTCTAAGTCAATATACTGCAGTATTTCCTCTCTCAATCAGTAGAAAATATGGTTAACACCCGGTCATGCATGAAAAAAAAATACCGTCATGTACCGTGAAACCGGTATCATTTTGAAAAGTACCGTGATATAAATTTTTGGTCATACCGCCCAGCACTAAGTCAGAGGATGAAGAGAACGAGAGAGAGCCACTGAACAGGTTCTAGAGCAGAAACACAGATATATTTAGCTTCATCTCCCCACTGCAATAGTGAACAACCTCTTTGTCATGCTGTGGGATTATATGAATGATACAAAAACGCTATCATATAGCGTATGTATATTTCTCTGAGACCATATCTTGGTGGATCTAAAAGAGGACATCTTGGGATTTTGTGAGATACCACATATCTGGGGGTTTGACCACAACAACGTAAAAATAATTGGTTTTATTAATTGGTTTTAAAAACTACATGTAGCTGACATCATAATTATGTAAATCACAAGGAAAGGGGAACAGTTGGTTTATTATTTTAAAATTATCATTAGTATTTTAGATTATTGTTTTTTGAATTTCAACATTTCAGAGACATTTTATCTATTACAAAGAAAAAAATAATTCCTTATATAGTTTCCATTATATATTTTCACCTGCTGAAGAAACAAAACATGTAAAATAGGAGGAAAAAACAATATTTTTAATTAAATATAAAAATACATATAAAAATATGAAATATAAAAATATGAGTTTATGAATAAGTTTGAGAACACATTTTGCTCATTTTTTGCAGTTAAAAATAAATAGTATAGAAAATAATTTAAAAATCAGTTTTATAGAAATATATTCTATAAAATTAGTTGAGAAACTATGTGAAATGTTTATTTCCTGTATGTTTTTTGGAAGCTGGGGTGAAAAACAGTTGACTGAAAACAGCATTGAATTTTTAAAATTACAATTAATAAACAGACTACTTCAAATATTTGGGGTCAGTGAGACTTTTTCAGATGTTTTTGAAAGAAGTCTCTTATGCTCACTAAGGCTACATTTATTTGATCGAAACTTCAGAAAAAACAGAAATATTGTGAAATATTATTGCAATTTTAAAGAACTGTTTTTTTTCTTCATATATTTTAAAATGTAATTTATTCCTGTGATGCAATGCTGAATTTACAAAAATGTTTCTTATTATTATGAGTGTTAAAAACTGTTTTTGCTGCTTAATATTTTTGTGGAAACTGTGATACATTTTACAGGATTCTTGGATAAATAGAAAGATCCATTTATTGTGTCCTGGTTGAATAAAATATACATTACGTTCTAAAAAAAACAACATTTTGAATGAAATTTTCTCATGTTAAAGGTCATCCCAAATTCACATCCTTTAATACCTTCTAACCTTTGTATACTGCATGAAAAGGCATCATTTTTTTAGATTTTGGACACAGCCTGTCTCTCTGATTCTAGGCACTAATGCATGCTGGGTCATTAGTCTGAGAGGGGCTGTTTCTACAGCAACTGCACTCTTCAGGAATGTCTCTGTGTTTGTGTGTGTGTGATAGAGACTGCCCTCGGTTCTTGATTAGCTGTGAATTCTTGAGGACATAAAGTGCCACTTGTGGAAAAAAGAGGCAGAAGTGCTCCAGAACAAGCTAGAGGAAAGAAAACAGCAAAGGAATGGATAAAACTCAGCGTATGAAGCTTTTTGTCCAGTGCAGAGAGAGAGAAAGAGAGAGGGATGAAATGAAATTGATCTGCTGGTAAATGCTGCAGCTTCAGTCCTCTGAGAAAAAGCAGGAAGAGAAAGCCTGCAGCCCTAATGGCAGTCGAGCACTTAACACTAAAAACATTTCATAAATAACATACACACTCGGGAAGGCTCTTACAAGTCTTCTGATCACTTCAGTACAAACAAAAGTGGCCAGTATAAATGTTGACCCACACACATGCAGAATTTATACATTTAATGTCAACATAAAATACAAAAATCCTTTTGTATTTTACCTAACAAATCTGCAACAGAACCATTGTGTGTCTCTGAGTAACACACAGTAGTTGCGTTTCATTCCTGAATGAATCAGCGTTTATGATTTTATTCTGTTGAATGAATGATTCAGTGGCTCAGTGTTTTCATTCTTGAATGATTCAGCGTTGCTGAACTAATGAGTTTAATGAATGATTCCGTGACTCGCTCACAGATATGAATGAATTGGCATTCTGAACGAATCGTTTCAAAGAATGAGTCAGTGATTCACTCATAACAACAGTCATTTTTCGCCACCTACTGGTGTAACGATGTAACATACAGAAAGAGTCATTAGCTATGTTTCCATCCAAAGTTGCGAATTTAACTTGTGCGCAGAACTGGAGTATTGCATAAAACATTTGCGAATAAGCACCGTTTCCATCCAACAAGTCAAAAAGAACTAAACCGTCACTTCCTGATAAACTGGCACTAAATATCACTAAGAAAATAGGAGAAGCCACTGAATATAATAATTTCCATATATAATAAATTACTTGCGCCTCAGTCAGAGTGAGCAGACGAAACACAATAAATGCGGTCTTTGCTATCGGAGGTGGATACCTGCTGTTTGAGAACACAGTCGTGTAAGACAGTTTTGGGAGGCAAAATACTTCGACGACAGACTTTCCTCAGGCATTTCAGAATGAGCATAACAACATTTCAGATGCTGTGCAACGAGATCAGTCCGCTGCTTAGTCAGGTTATGCCGTCCCAAGTCACTAATAGCTATTGAAAAATCCCCACTGCTAATGCAAATTCACATTTACTTTTATTAATTTATCAGCTCTTGGAACACCGGAACTAACTGTTGTAAAAAAACAAAAAAACAATATATAGATATTTTTTGCTGGTAAGTCCAGTGAATTATAACTCTTGAAATAAAATCAGGGTTTCCGCGGGTCTTAAAAAAGTCTTAAAAATCTTAAATTTAGTTGTATCAAATTTAAGGCCTTAAAAAGTCTTAAATTGTACAAGAAAGTCTTAATTATGATTTCAAGAGGTCTTAAATTTGGGGACGGAAAGATCAGAATTGCGATATGGCTGAATGTGGCGATTAAACTTCAAAAGGCTATGATTTCATTGAATAAACATGAGCGCTGCACGTTCAAAGTCCGGTGCTGCGCTGCTTTGTGTTCTGCTGTTACCGGGGAAACAGTTATATTTCTACCAAACGCTCCACCTGCTGGCAGAGAATGAATGAGCATGTTCAATAAAACTGTTGTTTTGTTCAGAGTTCAGACCAATGCGAAAATCAACCCATGTTTTTACCCTGCAAACACGCAGAGCTTTAAATGTGAACTGGTGGATCGATAAGAAGACAATGCATTATAAAAATCTAAACAGTATAGGGGTGTGCGATATGTATGGTCTGCGATAATATCGTAATTGTTGTTTTAAGGATGTGCGATTTGATATTATCAAGAATATCACGAAAAGCAAACAAAAGACCTACAGAATGCGCGCATACATTACATGAAATCTAGCCGGTTAGACTAGTGCGCGTGCGCATTTATAGTGCGTTCTTTCACTGCATTAATCAGTCTATTAAAATGCATTTAGAATTATCACATAATTCAAGATATGGGGCAGAAAATGTATATATTTATATCATTTGACATATAATAATTAATACTTTTGACTCATCCATTTTCTTAGGCTGAAATGTAAAGTTTATCATTTTATAAAACGTTTTTGTGAAAACTTGTATCTGAACTGTAAATTAAGCTTTTTACAGTAATTTTACAGTTGTGTGTGTGTTTCTTTCGTTCTCCCCTGTACTGATGCTGTAATGCTTATTGCATCACATCTGGCCGTTTGATCCTCTATTGCAAGTGGAAAATGTAATATTTGTTGTGTTTGTAAGATTTATGTTTGTATTATTGGCTACCTGCTGTGTAAACCTGAAGTAAACCTAGCTGTGTTCCTGAGCCGCTCATGTGCCTGAGGAGAATTGAGTTAGTCTCTATAGAGTCTTATGAACACACACCACCTCTATGCGTGATCCTCTGGGATAGCTCAGTTCCTTCCATCTGTATTTTTAGTGAGAGAAGGAGTCAGGTCAGTTCCATCTCTCTCTCTCTGTCTCTCTCTGTATGTGAATGCATAGAGTCAGGTCAGATGTAGCTCAGAAATAGAGCAGCAGCGCTCTTCACATACATAGTCATCATGCTTGAACGTTTACAGCCTCAATATCTTCTCCTCAAAGAATCACATATGCACAGATTTAGGAGGAAATTAATTGCTGTTGTTGTTTGTTTGCACATGCTCTCTGGACAAAAGAATAAAGAATTCAATATATTGTAT